AATAAAATACACTTCCATGATACAATGAAAGATGAGAAGAATAAAGGTCCTAATAATAGAAGCCCAGATTCTCTTCTTACATAGCTAAAACAAAATGTAATATTATTTCACAAAGTATTTTAATTTTGGTTTAAATATAAAAATAAGTTGGCTGATCGGTATTTCATGTTTCTGTATTTCTAAGCATGCAGGCACCACTACCCTGGTTACCTTTTCTACCTTTTCGGCCTATCGAAATTCTGTACATTCTTCTAATGAATGGACACAAAGAGTGATTACATATAGTAATGATGAATATGCTAATAATCCTGATTTGATCATCACATTGTATGCAAGTACTGATAGTCAACTCTGTACCCTATATATACGTATATCAATTATGTTTCAATAAAACAGAGATGTCATTCCTTATTGAAACCTTCCCTACTGCATCACATTGTATGCAAGTACTGATAGTCAACTCTGTACCCTATATATACGTATATCAATTACGTTTCAATAAAACAGAGATGTCTTTCCTTATTGAAACCTTCCCTACTCCCCACATTTAACCATTCCCTCTTCTTTGAACCTCCATATTTTGTATATATATCTATAGTTGAATTTAACACTGTTGGAATTAGAAATTTTGCTTATAAGACTAGAGGCCCTTTGAAAGAAGTCTTCAAGTCATTTATTGCTGGGTCTTTAGCACATGTAAGTACAAAATAAATAAATCCAAAAGAATACAGTCACTGAGATTCCATTTTAAATAAACATAATGTGCATTTTAAAGTAAGTTTGGTCTATAATCTTTTGAGCCTCCTCTGAATATAAACTACATTATACATTATATAATGTAACCATTAAAAGTATTTTTAGAGTATTTAATAACATAAAAATTCTTGTGCTTTATGTTACATAAAAAAGAGAGAAAATTATATACGCAATTTACACTGTTGTACCAACGATGCATAAATCCACCAAGATGTTAATAGGATGTATCCTAATGGTGGAAATATAAATATTTTCTTCTTTCTACTATTTATTTTTCTTTCTTAATATATTTTCTGTAGACACAGATAATTTTTAAATAACAATAACAAAACAAAAAGCTTAATTTTTTAAAATAAAACTAACTCAAGCAGTTGCAAATTTTCAGGTAATGATTATCTTCAATTTTGGTGGTTCCATTCTTCAAATCTAGGAAATATTAATCCTAAATACTTGGAGTATAAGTAGTAATAAAAACATGAAGAAAGAAGTCAGAAAAATATGTAATAAGTCATCCTGGAAGAGGAAAATTACATCGCTTACATACTTGTAGTGGCTTCTTTCTTCTGGAGAATGGCTGAGTTTGGCTTGTAGGAGAAGCAGCAACTCCTTTAACCTCTAAATCCATTCAAGTTTATGTATTTATCACGTAGTATACTGTGAAAAAGGTAAAACAGATTTAAAGTGATAATTCTTACCCCAATTTTAAATAAACCATACAAATCATGTAATAATACTACATGGAAAGAAATCATATGGTTAATCACTTTTACTTCTTTTGCCAAATCAACTTTTTGTAGGGTCCCCAAAGAGATCCATGTCTTAATCTCTGACCTTGTAAATATGTTACCTTACAAGGCAAAAAGGGACTTTTCAGATGTGATTAAGAATTTTGAGAGGGCAAGATTATTCTGTATTATCTAGTGGGATCAATATAACCACCAGCGTCCTTCTAAGCAAGAGACAGGAAGATCAGAGTGAGACAGAGAAGATGTAAGAATGGAAGCATAAGTCAGAGAGGAGCTAAGATGCTATCCAGAGGGCTCTGAAGGTGAAGGAAGAGGCCATGAGCAGCCTCCAGAGGGCAGAAGAGTCAAGGAGCAGATTGTCTCCTGGAGCCTCTAGATGGAACCAGCCCTGCCAACAGCTTGGTTTTAGCCCCTTCAAAATCATTTTGTACTTCTGACCTCTAGAACTGTAAAAGAATAAATTCATGTTGTTTTAAACCTCTAAGTTTGTGATAATGTTTTACAGCAGCAATAGGAAACTAATGCATGGCCCTCTTCTTTCCCACAATAAAATATGCATTTATTTTTTTTACTCATTTCCCAAACCTTTATGAGTTTTCATTTTGCCAGGGTAAGTTAATGAAAATATTTTTAGCAAACAGTTTCCTTCATCTAATACAAAGAATATAATGGAATGAATGAATTCCATTCAATGAAATGGAATTAATTAGTAATTATGTCATGACTGGTAAAAATGCTTGTGAGAGGATGTCAAAAATAATCAACTTGCAAATATGTACAAAATAAAAATCAGATGTGAATATATCTATCATCAAAATTTTGTATATTTTATTTTATACTTCACTCATATTACCAAGGATAATTTTTTTTAAAGATTCATATATTTTATTTTATTTTATTTTCCTTTTATTTTCTTTCATTCATTCATTTTCTTTCTCTAGACTTGGATTTTTTTTTTTTTCCTTTTTGTCTTTTTTCGTGACCAGTAACAGAATCGCAACCCTCGGTGTCGCGCCCGCACCACACTCAACCAGTGAGCGGACCGGTCTCTATATGGGATCTGAACCCTCGGCGGGAGCGCCGCTGCGCTCCCAAGTGCCGCACTCTACCGAGTGCGCCACCGGGCAGGCCCCTTGGATTTATTTTAATAGTAAATTCCTTTTATTTTGTATTTTTTTTAAAAAAATGATAGCATGACATTGTGCCAGCTTGCCAGTTAGATACTTACATTAAAATCCTGAC